CCACTGAAATATAGTCACTGGTTATCCTAGTTTCCTTCCCGCACACTCGTGAGTATGAACAGGGCAAGAGAAGCGGGAAATACCTCGAAGCTTTGGGTCCTACGTGATCCACTTGGAAAGAACCATTTGGTACATACCGGGCATGAAATAGCCACTCCTGAAGAAACCAAACCAATGGTACTCCGCCATGATTATCCTAGACAATTCCGACTGAAACACGTTCGTGACGGTCTTGAGAACCTATTTAACACTCCAATGTGACTGTCGATGCTGGATAAATGGATAAATACAGAGCCGAATAAACGAAACTGCTTCAATATTTTAGGCTAATCCAACTTCGCGGAATAAATGAAACAGTTCAGCAAGACAAAGGAGCAAGCAATTAATAACACAGAATCGGATAACAAAACTGTATTGATTGGAATGAATAAGAGTAGTAGCAGTTAAACAGGTCTTGTAAGCGAAGAAAGAGAAATGGTTATTAGCTTAATAATGGCACTGAAAAATAAGTGATCTTTAGAGGCAAGCAGTGACAGCAACAGGACTGAAGTCAGATTTACGATTCACTTGAAGCCAATTACTTGTTCGGCCAGCAAAAGGAGAGCGATAAAGGATGGCTTCTATGTCGGCTTCCATATTATCCTGACTGTTCAACAGTAAGTTCGCCAACTTCGTCTTCTTTACAGCACGATAGTCCAGATAATCAGATGCCACCGAATCGGGACGCTTTCGTAACCACCTAATAATTTCAAAAAGTCATTTTAACGCATTCGTATTGGGCGACAAGTGAAATTGTATCAATTTTCTTTATAAAGTTGGGCAAGCACATGATAATTGGAATATTAAAGTTGAAAAAAGCGGCCTTTCCTATCAAGTAGTGAAGTAGCTGACAAAATCTTGAAATAAACCGATTCTTACCTCCATTTTAAGCTCACGCTTCACCTAAGGCTAAGAACATCCTCGACCTCTCTTCCACTTCACACCTTCCACCTACCCTTCCCATTATTTCATGCTCATCTCAAAACACCATTACTTTCACTATCTTGGGGTCGGACAAATGGAGATGAGGTAAGACGACCACTGTCATGCTCGTCCAAGTGGTGATAAGGGGTGGTAACGATGATGAGGTAGTA